AACGTCTCCATTGGAGACTTTGTTATTACTGTGTCTGGCATATCGAATACTCTCGGTAGCTTGCCGGGCTCTCCGAGAGGGGCGGAGGAATCGAACTCGGGTCGGCCATGTTGGCCGCTTGTAAGGCGTATGCCCTACCCTCTGTGCTATCGCTCAGTTAACCAGAAAGATGACCTGGGCCCAATGCCCCACCTGAGTGAGGTGTGAGTACCAGACCAGGCCATCTGGCTCTGTTGGAGCAGGTTGTGAGGTGATGGGAAAAGGAACAAAGTGCTTACCTGCACGTCTCACTGCCAGTGGATGTGGACACAAGAACCTGGCAATCAGAAAAAGCCAAAACTAGGACAGACCAGTTCACCACGTTGGCCCACCATCCTCCTCCTCCTCCTCTCAGAATAGTGAAGGAGACCTCAGCCTCTGTGGCCCAAGTTGCTCCTCTCACGCTGTACACAAGGTGGCTTCTTCCACTCTCTGTTCCTCTCGCCACACTGCCAGCTGCTTGATCAGCTAACATCAAATAAAAATGAACTTTCTATGTGGAGCAGACAAATTCTCTGGAAAAGTGGTCTCCAACGCACCATGCCCTGCCCAGACTCCTATCCTGGCTCTTCCTGTTCTCTTTCCTTTCCCATTACAGTAGTCAAGATGGTCCCAGAATGATCTTTCCTTCAGCTTTGAAAACTTTCCCTCTCCTGCCGCCGCCCTAATAGTGACTCTCTCCTGGTACTGTCTGGTCTTCCAGCTCTCAAATACTCTGACTTGAAGGGTAGCTGTGTGGAGGAAATCTCGTCCTGTTTTATAGCTGGGCACACAGAGGCAGGAAGTGGGGGGATGGTTCATCCAAGCTTATAGCTGGGACATCTAAGAGTGTACCTGGAGCAATCTAAAGAGTATCTGAAGTTAGCACCCATGAAGAATGAACGGAATGAAGTGAAGACTGAAGGAGAGAGGAACGTCAATACCTACTGTTCGTGATGTCTGGATTTGGCCATGGTTTGTCTCTCAAACCCAGTTTCTGAGAGATACTCAAAAATGCCTTAAGAGAAAGAGACTTGGGGAAAAAGATCTCAGAGATGACCCTCAATTTCAGGGTTAAGTTATGGGCAGCCAGTCAGAAGCTCCTTCAGGATTTGTTTCTGTCGGGAGGAGGATGGAGGAGTCTGTGGCTGAAGGCGACAGGAGAGCCAGAAAAGCTGCCTGGCCTGACTAGCAGCTAATGTGGGAGGCAGAGGAGACCCTGGAAGCCCACGTAGAGTTAGGGGAGGTGGGCAGGACCTTCCTGGTCTGACAGAGTAAGGTGGCCAGGGCCTGGCAGAGGAGGTATCAGCAGCAGGGAAGGCTGGTGGGACAAGACCTCAGATCAGATGGGAGAACGTTCTGCCTGAGAGTCCCCGTTAGCCTGTTTATTGATTACCTGCAGCCCCTGCACTTCAGACTGGACTGGAGAAGACCCATAAGCTCAAGGTGCGAAATCATCATAATAGAAGAGCTTTAAGACACAAAGTAACACTGAATCTGGTGAAATCTGAATATGGCCCATGTAATAAGAGATGGTAGTATTGTATAGGTGTTCAATTTCTTCCGTGTGTTCTCACAATACATTTGTTCTGGTGCCGGAGAGATAGTACAGCAGGCAGGTCACTTGCCCTACACTCAGCCAACCTGGGTTCAATCGCTAGCATCCCATATGGTCTCCTGAGCACCACCAGGAGTGATTCCTGAGTGCAGAGCCAGGAGTAGTAACTCCTGAGCACTGCTGGGTGTCCCAAACACTCCCCCTCAAACAACTGTCACTGTCACTGTCCTCCCGTTGTTCATCGATTTTCTCGAGCGGCCCCAGTAACGTCTCCATCGGAGACTTTGTTGTTACTGTGTTTGGCATATCGAATATGTCACGGGGAGCTTGCCAGGCTCTGCCATGCGGGCGAGATACTCTCGGTAGCTTGCCGGGCTCTCCGAGAGGGGCGGAGGAATCGAACTCGGGTCGGCCATGTTGGCTGCGTGCAAGGCAAACACACAACCGCTGTGCTATCGCTCCAGCCAGGCTCAAACAACATCTGTTCTTAAGAGGTGCATGTTGAAGAACTGAGAGGTGTAAGGTCATGATGTACACAACTATTGAGTGATTCAGGAAAAAATTAAAAGTAGATAAGATAAATGTGGCAATGTGGTAACAGTTGCTAAATCTAGACACAAAGCCACAGGTATTTATACTTTTTTTTTAACTTTGATAAGTTTTAAACTTTGAAAATAAAAACTTGGGGGAAAGTGTGTAAGATTAGTCATCACATATTGAACAATGACTGGATCCCAACATTTATGTAATCCTATGATTTCATTTTATCCCCAAACCGACTCCAGGGAGAGACATTCTGATTCTCAGATTAAAGATAAGGAAGTTGAGACCCAAAGAAGCCAAAGAACTTGCCCAAGTTTACAGAATTGGAAATCAAACAGCCCAAGGTTGGGGGAGGTCACACAAGCCGGTGGGAGACTAGTTGCCAGCACTTTCTTGAGTCTTGCTGTGTTTGAAAACCGTCCATGCATATGAACTCATTTAATCCTCCCTTTCTAAAAAGCTTTGTACTCTGTGATAAATCACTTCATTGGGCAAGGCTGGGAGGGAACTAAGGCATATTCAAACACACTGACAGAAATGTTGGTTGGTTGGGTCTCCTTTAAGGGCTATTGGACAGAATCCCATTGAAATTTAAAATCGCATAGTGTTTAAAGCCAGCAATTCCACTTTGAAGTATTAAACTGTAAAGGCAGTCACATTTGTTGACAAGGAGGTATGCATAAAGATATTCACTGTAGCAAGGTAGATGATAGCCAAAGATTAGAAACATCCTACGCAATCCATTATTAGAAATAGGAGGGAACCATTTTAACAAGTGAGGGACCAGGGATTGGGAAAAAAGGAGATTCCTGGCATATGAATGGCCCAGGGTTTGGTCCTCAGGATTGCATGCCCCCAAGCACTGCCAGACTGAGTTTAGCTAGGAGTGGCCTCACAACAATCTGAAGACATATTTATGTATTTATGTATTTAATTGATTAAAATGAGATCTTTAAGTGTGCTAATAAGTCATACTTAGTGCCAAAAAGGGTAACATTGAATGTAAAAGAAAGTGGAGCATGTTTCCTTAGTGTTAAAGGGGGACAGGGATACATATGTATGAACATGTACGTGTACTTCTGAATACATGAATACTTATGCCTGCAGAGAAAATCTTAAAAGGATACAAAACTTACCACAACAACTGTGTTTGGGGAAGTGTGGCTGGAAGTTGGAAGTGCCAAAGGAAGACTTTCACTTTAATTCTTAGTGCTATGAATTTATTATTATTTTTAGGGGGCTGGAGCGATAGTACAGCGGGTAGAGCATCAGCCTTGCACGCGGCAGACCCGGGTTCGAGTCCCAGCATCTCATATGGTCCTCCAAGCACCGCCAGGAGTAATTCCTGAGTGCAAAGCCAGAACCAACCCTGTGCATCACTGACTGTGATCCAAAAAGAAAAAAAAAATTATTATTTTTAAAATTTCCCTATCTTTCCCCTTTTGGTTGTTTGTTGTGATGATGACAAGGGGTTGCATACTGCAGATGTAGGCCTTGAATATTTGGCATTAGTGCTCACACACTTAGCTGCAGGAACCACACTCAACAGGTGGGGTGGGGTGGCAGACTCATGCACTCTGACACGGGGTTCTCTGCCAGCCCCCAGACTTACCATTAGCTCGTTCTCTTTCTGTATGATTTTAAATCAGCATGAGTATCTATTCAAAGCAAATGCATAAATGAACCACCTTCTATTACAAATTCCAGGACTTGCTTTTGGATTTCCTTAGATATGAAGGGGATAGCAGAAACCTATGTACCCCAGTCTGGGGCTGATCTACTCCAGTTCCTCAGAGTACGTGGCAAGTTCAGTCCCAAGAATCCCATAGGCCCAACTGAACTTTCACCTTTCGCCTCCTGAACCACTTGGGCCAGCTTTCCATAGCATCTGGGTTCTCAAAATTGTGCATGAGAATCACCCAGAGAGCTCATTAGCTGGGCAATTTCCCGGCCTCACCTCCAGAGGTTCAGATTCAAACCTAAGGTGGAGCCAGGAGATGCCAAGGCCTGGGGTGAGTCTTCCCCTTTGAAGTGGCCCCAGTGGTATTTGCTCCTGCTCACCTTAGACTGAGATGCAGCAAGATCCAGTTTTGGAAAAGTGTTTTGTAACCGTATCCTTCAGTGCAGTGAACTTCATTTATATCTTTACCCCATATCACCCTGACCAAATTCCCAACCTCTTTGGGTGTAGGTTCTTTCGGAGGGCAGAGGATGACAAGCCCTTGAGCACCTAGAGTATACCCAACTGCTTTGCAAGCTTCTCCACGGGCAGTGAGTGACCTGTTTGCCTTGACCCACTCCTTTAAAATAAGTAATGCAAGCACACATACATACCCACATGCCCGGGTGCGCACACGCACACATGCATATGCACACACATGTGCCCGCATACAAGCGTGACTGCACACACACGCATGCATATATGTGCACACAGGCATACACATGCATGCGTGTCTGCACACACACATGCCTGCACAAGCAAGTAACCTCCGGGCTCTTGTGCCATTTTAAATAAAATTCCAAATCAGAACATCGATGTGCCGAGGGACAGACTTGTTTGAAATGTGGCCTCCGAATATGCACGCGTTACAGGTCATCCAATATTGGAAAATTCCTTGCGGGGCGGGGAGAGGGGGTGGAGGAAGAGTCTGGTCTTGCGCCCCATCCAGCGAGGGTCTCGGGCTGTCTGGAAGCTGAGCGAACCCCTGGCAGCTCGAGCTCGGGGTGGGCGCCCGGGAGACCCCCTCCAACCCACCCCCAGACCTGGCCGCCCTCGGGACGAGCCCAGCGGTACGGAGAGGTGGGAGGCTGGAGCCTGCTGAGGTCATTTCCTGTGCCTCTCCGCGAGCCGCGCCGCCAGCCCAGCCCCGCGCTCTGCCTTTAAGGAGCGGGCGGGGAGCGCGGGCTGGGAGGAGGGAGCGCGGCGGAGCGTTGAATGGGGCGCAGCGAGGCGCGGCTCGGCTTTGTGCGGGCACCCCTCCGGCCCCAGCGTCTCTCCCCGCCCCGCCTACCCCGACCCCTGCTGCCGGGGAGCGGAGACCCGGCGGCGGCCGCCGAGTGGAGCGACGCAAGGTCAGCGGCGGACGCGCGGCGGGGACGGCCGCGAGCTGGCTGGAGGTGAGGCGCCCCGCGCGTCCCGGCGGGCAGGGATGGGCTCCGGGCGGCGGTGTGCGCGGGGTGGCCCGGGCTCGGCTCCCTCGGCGCCGGGGAGGGGTGCATATGCGGGAGCAGGTGCCTCCCTACCTGCAAACCTGCTCCTCGCAGCTGGGAGCGCTGGGCGCCGCCGATCCGGCTCGGGGGACCCGCCCCGCCAGGAGGAGGAGGAGGAGGAGGCTGCCTCGGTGAACCCGGAGTTTGCAGCCGGCTTGATCCAGTTGCTCCGGGGAAGGGCCCTCGGAACTACCAAAAGGCGTTTTTGGTTTTTTTTTTTTTTTTTAAACCACGGTGCCTCCGCTCTCGCTGGCTTGTCCCCCACCCCACTCCCACTCCCCGCGCTGCTTCCTCCGTGGTTCGCTCGGGGTCCTTAGGGGTCGACTCCTGGAGGGCAGCCAAGCAGCCAAGAAAACAAGTGGGCGCAAAATGACACCGGAGCGTGGTGTCCTCGACGCCTTAGGGAGGAAGGAGGCAGCGGCGACCCCGGGGGGTTTCACGCACTGGCAGAGGCGGTGGAGACCCGCACCTGGGCGCAGACGCGCGCTCTCGCGTCCGCTTCCCCGCCACGGCCCCTCCGGCTGTCGCGTGTGCAGAAGCTGTTACTTGGGGATCCACCTCGTAAAAAACTTTTCTGCACAGAGCCGCAGTCCTCGCGAAGAGCTCTGCTCCAGAGATCTGCTTAGAGCAAGTTTCCGCGGATAAAAGCCTCTGAGTCCTCTGCAGACTCTTGGCACTGTCTTGTGACTGAGTACGCGGGAGCGTTATTTCACACTCCGTGAATGTCAAGTTCCAGTGTTGGTGCATATTGTTATCACTGCCGTACAAAGGAGGAAACGACTCCAGGAAAAAAAAAAATGCTTTGTCCAAGGTCATAGAGCTAAAGAAGTGGAAGAAACGTTCAAGCCTCTTAAACTCTAAGCTACAGTTTCATCCACTGTTAGCTATCCTCACCCCATAGACTTGTGAAGTGGTCTCCTCAGAGCTGGGCCATTGTGGCGAGCACTCGGTGGACTCAGAATCATTGGAAGTAACAGTTGAGGGACGGAGAGAGGAGAGATGATAGTACAGCGGGTAGGGTGCTCGCCTTGCATGCTACAGACTCCGTTTGATCCCAGGCACCCTATATGGGCACCCCTCATTTAGCACCCCCCAGCATGCCAGGATTGATCCCAAAGCGCAGAGCCAGGAATAATAAGCTCAGAGCACAGCTGGGTGCCCCCCCCTTCCCCCCAAATACATAAATACAAGAAAAAGTAAGCGTCTATCTGCAAAGTGTGGCTTCTTTGTCCCCCTGACAAAGACTCACCAGCTCTGGGGTCAGAGAGATAGCTCAGAGAGCTAATTAATGTGCTTGCTTTGGGTGCAAGAGATAACGGGATTGATCCCTGTACTGCATTCTCCCTTGAATACAGAGCCAGGAGTAGCCTCAAAGCACAGCTGGGTGTGGCCCCCAAACAGTAAATAGAGTCACCAGGGGGGCAAGAAATCTGTCCCTCCCACTTTGCTCCTCGCCCACTCCTTCCCCCATCTCCCCTTCTCTGGATATCTGTGTGGGGAGCTCAGTGTCCTTAATGGGATGAAGATGCCTTAAATTTGCTCGTATCAGGGGCCAGGGACTCCCTCCTGATCAGGGTGACTTCACAGCAGTGGCTACTGAGCCATCCTTCTGCTTTTCTTGGCAGCCCAGCTGAGTTGGCCTTTTTATAATAAAAACTAATATAAAACTTAACCCCATGCCTGGGGAAGCAGCCTGGTGTGCGAATTAGAATGAGCCAGGTGGCCTTCTGTGCTGTTTGCCCATTGAAAAGGTGCAAACTTGTAGGCCTGAGGCTTGCCTTGCATATGACCCGAGTTTTATGCCTGCCACCCAATATGGATTCCCTAGCCCTGTCAGGGGTGATCCCTTAGTGCAGAGTCAGGAGTGAGCCCTGAGCACTGCCAAAGTGTGGCCCCCAAACAAACATCCAACTGAAAGGTACAACTTTTTCACCCTCCAATTCCAAGTTTGTTATTTTAGTCTTCATCAGATATATTCTGATGTCTAAGAATCATGTATTCAAGCAGCACTGTTTAATAAAAGGCTTTAAACAATCCAAAATTCTAGCAAATACAGTCGTGTATCAGTCACATAGTAGAATAGATAAAGCTTTTGAAAAGCATGAAGGAAAGTGGGGCAGATGTGAAGGTATTGCTGTAGGAAGATCTCTGAGTTACATTAAGTTAAGGGTGGTTAGCATAACAGTGATTGTATATGCGTGTGTGTGCTTGCAACAGACATGAATACATGTTTGGGCCCCCAATGTCTCTGGAAAAACACACCAATGCTCATCTCCATCTCAGTGGTTACCTTTGAGCGGACTATGGGGATGGGCAAAAAATAAACTCTGCACTGTATGCTCTTTTGTTCAGTTTCAGAAATAGAGAAAAGCTTTAAAAATCCGCTGGCCTCCTTGGGAGGTGTCTGGTGGTGAGACAGATGGCACTTGTCCCCTTGCATGCCCCTGGCACTATTGGTTATCTTTTGTTTGTTGATGGTAGCTTTCATTTATTAAACACTTGCTGTGGGTGGGCTTTTGTAATATTTCCTCTAATTCTCAAAAATCCAAATAGTGTGGTCTCTAAAATCACTATTTTGGGGGGCCAGAGCAATAGTACCGAGGGTAGGGTGTTTGCCTGGCACACGACTGACCAAGTTTAGTCCCTGGCATCCATGTGGTCTCCTGAGCATGAGCAGGAGTGATTCCTGAGTGCTGAGCCAGGAGTGAGCCCTGAGCATCGAAGAGTGTGGCCCTAAAACAAAAAATAGCAACAATAAAGTCACCATTTTGGAAGATCACAAGATGGCCAAAGGTTGACAGTTTCCTAGGACTCAACCTAGTATTGTTCCCCTTCTTTACATTTTACTATTTTTTTTGGCGGGGAGCGGTGTTGGAGGTCACACCCCACTGTGCTCAGGGTTTCCTCCTGGCTTTGCATTCGGGGATCACTCCTGGTGGTGTTCAGGAGACCAAATGCAGTTTGGGAGATCAAACTGGGATCAGCCATATGTAAGACAAGTGTCTTACTTCTTATGCTGACTTTCCTTAGGTCCTATAATTATTATTATAATTATTAGTTATTGTTGGGGGCCACACCCAGCTGTACTCAGGGATCACTCCTGGTGGTACTCAAGAGGCAGTATGTGGTGCCAGAGATCAAACCCGGCTGGGCCCTGTGCAAGGCAAGCACCTTCCCCACTGTTTTATCTCTCCAGCCCTCTTATTATTTCAAATGTTCTCCCTTTCCCTTTCTTTCATTGCTGCTACTGTGGAGGCCGAGGTCACACATACTTGGTTGTGGCGCTCACACACTTTGCTCCCTGGGCCTCTCACTTTAGCACTGGGATTCCCAAAGAGCACTGCTGGCAGGGATGCACACGGCTTGAAAAGCTGTGCCAGGGATTGAACTTGAGGCCTTTTGCCCATCCTCAGTTTTCCAAGATGCATCTGAGGCGCAGAGAAGTGAAGCCAATAAATGTGTTTAAAGTCACAGGATGACAGTCAAGAGTTGCTTGATCGCATTTCAGTCAGCATCAAATATTTGATGGTGGTCCCAATTGGCTATTCTTTGGATCAGTCAGTCTGTTATAGGCTGTTCGGTGTGTTATAGGCTACAAAGTGTAAACTTCACACTGACATCCCCACAATATGAAATCCCCTACTTAGGCATTTCTTGGACATTATCCTGTCCTATCCGTATCCCTGTGTTAAGGGATATGACTGTAATTAGTACTCAAGCCAGCATTCAAACCCAGGCCTTGGTGCCAGAGCTTGGGACTGTAAATACTGAGCTCTGCTGTTTGTCTTGCCCTGCTTTGTTCTCAAGGAATGCTGGGCCTGGTTGTCCAGGCCCCGCTGTTTGTATTTAGATCCCTTTTCCTTCATCTCTCCCAACATTGTGAAATGGAGACTTGGTACTTTACCCAGAAGAGGTCAGCTTGTATTGTTGCTGTGACCCTGATATCCCCTCACCCTTCCCCAGCTCCACGCCACGCCCAGGGAGGGGGCTCAAAGTTCTTTTTTTCCCATAGTGGACTGGTGGGAAACAGAGTCTGGGGAGCACTTTTGGAAGATGTTGTTTGCCTATCACTAGCAAGCGGAAAATACAAAAGGCGTGGTGACCCCTGACTTCTTTGAGGCTCTGGTGGTGATCAACCCCCTTTGGGGGGTAGCAGAATGATTCAGATGGTGGACCTGAGCCTGCCAAGGCACACCTTGCTTACTCACCCAAGCAAGGTCTTTAACCTTGCACACAGGAATCACTTAACAAAAGTTGGTTGAATTAGATTTCATCTCATCTCCTTTCTGTTTGTTTGTTTTTCGTTTTCTCTTTGGGGGCCACACCCAGCAATGCTCAGGAGTTACTCCTGGCTCTGCACTCAGGAATTACTCCTGGCAGTGCTTGTATGAGATGCTGGGGATCAAACCCAGGTCGGCCTTGTGCAAGGTAAACACCCTACCCGCCATACTATCACTTCACCAGCCCCTTCATCTCATCTCTTTTTCTATTTCTGGTCCCATCCCCAAACATTGCTGGAGCCATCTCAGGTCCAGTGGGTATTTTCTCTGATGCAGGCCCAGTGAAAAGACCCTAACCCATCTCCAGCTGCCTACTGTTCACCTTCCTAGCTGGTGCCCCACCTCTGGGGCTCAGTACCACTCAGCTCTAGCCTTTCAAGCCAGGGGGCTGGAATTTGGGGAATTCCAAAGCAGGTGTCAAGGCCATGGCAGTTGTCTGATTCTCACCTGCCAGGCAGCTTAGGCTGCTGGCTACTACTGGAAACCAGAGAACTGTGTCCTGCGAGAAACCAAAGCGCTCAGGAGTGGCAGGAGTGTACCATCATTGTCGCCGGGCAGTGGGTATGTAGGATTTACTGTCCTGTTCTCCTCACTTCTTATGTGTGTTTGAAGCTTTCCGGAATAAAAAAAGAAACAGTCGAGATGGCTTTTGTCCCCAGCTTACTTCCCCTGTCTCATTTCCCTGTCTATTTTTGCCATGACTGTGTTCGTGTGGGCTGATCCGGCAGCCCACAGCGCATCCACCTCCACCACCACTAAAGCATCTTCTGTATAGTTCTAGAGGCTGGGAGATGGGGAGTCCTGGCCCCTGGCCCTGCTGCTCTTTGTCTTTAAGTAGGTCACAGAGGTGATGAGCCGGGTCATCTGTTCTTCATGAATGATACCTTTGTCCTGCATCTCATGGGTATTGAGAGGCTAAGCAGAGAAATAATACCTGTCATCTTGAGGCTTTGAGGGTCAAAGAACCATTATTCAGATTCATTTCTGCTCTTCGGGCATCTTATTCGGAGGTACAAGTACAAGGTGGCTGAGCAGGTGAGGTTCAGTTGGCTGGAGTTTCCCCTTAATAACCCGTTTTATAGCTGCTGCCCTGACCACCTGCTTCTATCGGAAGAGCCTCTAGACCTTGGCTTGGCAGCAAGCGCCTTGCTCCCAGCCCATTTCGAAACCTCTTAGCTCCGCTTGCATGCCGGGACAAGCCCAGCATGAGGACCAGCCCCCTCCCCAGTGTCCCTAAGGCAGGAAGAGGATTAAGCAGAGCACTTGATGGTTCAAAACCTTAATGTCACAGAAATATCTCTGGGGAAGACCCCTAGATTGAGGTTTAATCTCAGATGCCAGGGCTAAACAGAGACCACCAATGGTTATTTTATATTCAAAATAGCTGGAGATTTTAATAATTCAGGCTTCCGCACTTCCCGTGGAACCTGAGACCCAGCTTTGACAATCAATAAGAGGGAATTAAAATTCACCAAACTCTTTCAATAACACAAAAGGATTAAGTTTCCACCTTCAAACCCCCCCTTCCCCTCCCTTTGGTTTTCCTCTGGTGCTCTTACAGCTAATTCTTAGCCCTGGGCTAGGTTGCGTGCCTCTCTGGGACCCACTTTCAGACCTGCCACTTTTTTTCACTTCTAGGAGGAAAAGCTTTATCCCTCTCAAGGACAAAGCAAATCACACATGAAGCCTCCCTGCCTGCTCTGGAGGCCCCACAAGGTCCTGTTTTGTCTTTTCAGTGGTGAGCTTAGCTCCCAGAGAAGGTCATGTTTTGTTTTTGTCTTTTGTCTTCCTGCTCGTCCAAGGCGGTCCCAGTCCTTTGAGGTGGCAAGTGCTGGGAGGTCACAATGTCGGGATTGTTTGGGATGACAGTTCCGGGAGAGTAGGGCTAAGGTCACATGTCCAGGGTTCTGAGCAGCCCAGCACCCAAAGGCTCAACCATCAGACCCATCAGCGGTGTGATTAGGGCCTTTTTGCACAGGGCTGTTGACCCCCCGTTTTCCTCAGAATAGCAGGCCACATGATGGAGGTGATGGTGACAGAATGTCTGAGCAAATCTGGGATATAGGTTCATTTTAGCCGCCGGGCTCTATGGAAGATCTTATAAAAATGTTTCTGTCATTCTTAACAATCCACACTACTTTTTGTGAAATCAGAATTCTTTCCAGTTTGAGAGTAGGTAAAGTGCACCATGAGGTAGAACAAGGTTTTAGGGACTAGAGGGATAGTGAGGGAGGTAAGGCACTTGGCTTATTCATAGTTGACACTGGTTTGATCCCCAGCTCCCCAGATGGTCACCCAAGCACCGCCAGCCGTGACTCCTGAGCACCACTGGATGTGACCCAAAAATCTAAAAAAAAAAAAAAACAAGGACTTCGGAGCAGCTTACTAGCTACAGGACTTTGTATGTTCAAGAGCTTCTCAGTTTCTCATTGTCCTCAGATGAGCGTGTGTGAACTGTGTGTGACTCACCCCTTATCCTGTGGGTTAGGTGAGGATTAAAGTCACAGGTGCCTGGTATACAAAAGGACCCAATAATTGATGGATGCTTGTGTTGTAGAAAAGGAGAAAGATACTTGCAAAAGTCAAATGTGAGGGAGGAGGTAACTTTGGTGGTGGCCCATCAGAGCAAGGTGCCCAGTCCACCTGGAATTTAGGAGTCAGAGAGGCAAGAACTGGACTTTATTGGAGGTCTATGGTGCCTACGAAAAGAAAAGGAAATATCAGGACATAGCAGATTAGGGGCCAGGGGTAGAGTGATTGTGTGATTCTTGGAGTCAATGCCCAGCACCCCAACCAAACCAAAATAAAAACAATGGGAACAAAACAGCACATTTTTATAATGAAAAATGTCAGAATATATAGAACTAGAGAGGCAATATAAAGAGCTATATCCTTAGCACCCATCTTCAAAAATTATCAACATACCTGAAATCCTTTTTCATATATGCTTCCACCCAGTCTTCACCCCCTATAGTGGAGCAAATCATACATTGTATTTTTTCACCTGGAAATCAGACATACATCTAATATGATATTATAAGATGTGTCAACCTGAAAGGTTGACAACCTAACCATCATGTTTTAAAATCCTCTACTCCTAGAGTGACCATATACTGGGGTATGGGACATCATGTTTATTCATATTGCCAAGATCCTTTGTAATAGCCACTTGAATGGGGATGGAGGAAGCTTTGGGAGGGATGTGTCTTCCGGTCCTTCTATCTTCAGGACTCCACGCCTGTCTCCCTCTCTCGGGCACACACATATATCCTTCAGTTTCTCATCCTCAGTCTCTAAAATACACCCAGCAGATCTCTGAGTAAATTCTCCTCGCTGTGGCTTTGATGAGTGTCTCCTTGACTTGCTCTGAATCTGTGTATTATCTCCCTTCCCTGCCTCGTAGATTTGTGAACTTCTTCAGAGGTTACGGCAAAACAGCTATTGACCCTCTCATTTGCATTTTATAACTTAAAGAGAGAGTCTGTTCCTAAGCAAGAGAATTAATTCAACTAAAAGAAAGCTGCTGTGGAAATTCAAAACATAATTCATATTATGTTTTCCTTGGGGTGGGGGGTGGGGATGGTTGGGGCCACACGTGACAGTGCTTAGACTTCCCCTGGCTCTGTGCTCAAGGGTCACTTTTGGCCATGCTCAGGAGACCACATGTAGTGCTGGGGATCAAACTGGATTTGGCCACAAGCAAAAGAAGCACTTAAACCCCCGTGTGATCTCTCCAGCCCTCAAAGCATTGTATTTTCTTTCCATTTGCTCCCATCTGGCAGTCTGTGTAGAGAGAGGAGAGCTGTAACTACCCTGGGAACCAGGGTGCTGCCTCCTGTTTTCTCTGTGATCTCAGTTGGCTGTTAGCCGCTTTAAGCCTTCCCTAATCTCTTCTCCCTCTCACATGGTCTCCCCACCCCCCCTACCCTGCTCGTGTGTATCTGCATATTGATTGACAGTTGTGACTAGCATCTAATTTTTATACTAGATTGGCCTCAGATTTCCATGAAAACTTCAAAGACAAAGGATCCTTCTTATTTTCCTTTCCATCTCTAGTGCCTAGAACAGTGTCTGGCTCAAAATGTTTGTTGAATAAACAAAAATGTGTTAATTTGGGGATAAAGATGTGATTCAAATGGTAGAGCACGTGCCTGGCATATGCAGGGTCCTGGATTCAATCCCTGGCATCCCAGGAGTTTCCACCCTCTTCCACCCACCCCCCATGAAAACTTTTTGTTAAATTAAAAAAAAAATGAACCCTTCTTTTCCCTTTTGTGAAAATGAGACTAGGTTCTCCTGACAGTTTCTCCAAGTTTTGTGATTTTCTGAGATTGCTCAGGTGTTTTTTTTTTTCTTTTTGGGTCACACCCAGTGATGCACAGAGGTTACTCCTGGCTCACACACTAAGGAATTATTCCTGGCAGTGCTCGGGGGACTATATGGGATGCTGGGAATCGAACCTGGGTTGGCCGCGTGCAAGGTAAACGCCCTACCCACTGTGCTATCGCTTCAGCCCTGCTCAGCTCATTTCTGACGGAGCAGAGCCATCCATGATCTAGGAACGGTGGCAATGGGCTATCTTACCCTAGCACTGTTTTCTCTGCTCCTCCCCACCCCCATTATTTCCTTCTTTCCTTCCCCACATAGCTCCTCCTCACGCACATTTCTGTTGGCTGCTTCTCAGGGCTCCGTGGACGATTCCATCATGGCAGAACCCAAAGTGGAGACGCAGACAAGCGTGGACTGGCAGAAGCGATGCTTGACCTTAGAAACCCAGCTCTTAAGGTTCCGTGAACATGCCAGCAAGATAAGGGAGTTGCTGGCTGACAAGGTAGGTCCCAGAGAGCAGGTCAGGGCCCACCTCCTTGCAGCAGTGGGAGAGAGTGAGCTTGCAATCCTGTAAGTGCACAGAGCACACAGGTGAAGTGAAACCTGTGGTGGTTTTTGTTCTGTTTTCTAAAGACCAAAATCAAAGCAGTTACTAAGCTGTCATCTCGTATCCTTCCCTGTGTGGCATCTTCACATGGCCCTCCCGTTGATCGTCGATTTGCTCGAGCGGGCCCAGTAACGTCTCCATTGGAGACTTTGTTGTTACTGTGTCTGGCATATCGAATACTCTCGGTAGCTTGCCGGGCTCTCCGAGAGGGGCGAAGGAATCGAACTCGGGTCGGCCATGTTGGCCGCTTGTAAGGCAAACGCCCTACCCGCTGTGCTATCGCTCCAGCTTCACATGGCACAGGTAAGAAATGACCCAAGTTTCGTTGGTCCTCCCTTACCTCCTGTGAGACTGCAGTAGAGGGTCTCTTCTTTATTCTTTCTTTCTCAAGTATAGAAGGGAGGATGTCTTAGGAGAGAAGGATGGAAATCCTATCCCTTCTGCTTGTGTTCTAGTAAGCAAAGTTATGGAAGGCAGCCTGGTTCCCTAGTGACAAGGAAACTGGTTCTGCCACTTAGCTCACTCTGTGACCCAGGGCCTATCCCTTCACCTTCTAGTCGGGGACACATATGCCCACCTTTTGTAGTTATTTTAAAGATTGGCTGGTTTGATAAACATTTATAATGAATCGATCACCTGTTTATTATGTAGTCAGCAATTTCTGTACAGCTCTCTTTTGTCTAGATCCTAGTGTGTGAATCCATTAGACTTAGAATATAATGTTGTATAGCAATTTTCTTTTAAATTTTAATTTTCTTTTTAGAATATTAAATATCCAACTGTTGAATGGTTTGGATGTGTAGTAAGTTTAGAATACTTTAAAAAAATGTATTCAAAGCACAAAATAAACTTTTCTAAGCGCTTCACTGAAAAAAAAAAACAAAAAACAATTGGCTGGTTTGGACACCTGAGCACCATTCAGAATGTTCCTGTGGCAGGAACTATCCACTATCCAGCTGGATCTCAGAGGCGTTTTGGAATTCAATACATCTCAAGAGTGTGGGGGCTGCCCAAAAAGCTAAGCCTTCATTAATTTTCCAGCTCAGTGTAGTTTGCTCATGGTTTCCATCACCTTTACACACTGTCAATACAAAGGTAAAATACACACCTGTCCTCCCTAAGCCCTGCCGAAGTCTTGATTAATAAAGCCCGAGTCAGTGACCTGTTTTGTTGCCAGCCCCGCTGCCTGGAGTCCAGAAAGGCAGATTATTGGCTTCACCTCTGTCTTCACCTCTGTCTTCCCATAGCTGCGGTTCCACAGGGAGCCCAGGGAGCCCTGGGCTATGACAGAGGCTCCCAGGCTTTTTTGGTCTATCACCCCCTTTTCAGAGGAAAAAAAAAGAAAAGACTCAGGGCCCCCTGGAAATCTGCCTTCTTTAAGGAGACAAACGGAAAGCACCCTCCCCATCACACCCAAGGCTACTACTTCCCTCCTGGATCATTCCAGCACACTTTGTGGGATGGGGAGAGAGGGGTGCAGGACACAGGAGGTAGCCCACTTTGGGAAAAACTGAACCAGCCTCATGAACCTTGGCCTGAAGATGTTGCCATCCCCTCGCCGAGACTTTACAGAGACCAGCAGAGTTCCTGACTTTGCTCCTGCTAATAGAAAGCATAGAATTCAGCCACCCTAGGGAAAGGGCAGCCAACCTCACACAGTGGTTCTCAAAGGGTGGTCCCAGGACCACCTATGCTAGAAACCTGGAATCCTTATTAATCATGTACATTCCTGGGCCGCACCCCAGTCCTCCTGATCCAAGCTTCCTGCTGCTCGTAATCTGCATGTTTAACAAGCTCCCAGAAATTGGTTTCATACACTGTAAAACTTGAGAAGCTTGCCTTAGGATATGCTGCTGGGAGAGGCGTCCAAGGAAGGGATCAGTTGGGTTGGATGCGGCCAGCTGATCTAAAGCCCGTGTTAGGGAGGAGACTTCTATGTCTAAGAACATGGACCCCAAAATCACCTGGAAAATGATCACTCTGAAACACCTTGGGAGCTCTGCAGTCAATAATTAAAGTATCCTTCTAAGTATGAAACTGTAGCCTGGAAAAAAAGAAAGAAGAATCCTCCAGGGACCAAAAAAAAAAAAAGAGGAAAACCCAGAGTGGTACTCAGATCTGGAGCTGTCTGGCCCGCCTTACTGATGAGTGAGGAAGGTTTTGGGGTTTGAGTTTCTTTCGCAGGTTTAGGGGTCTGGGGTTTAGGCCACACTCAGCAGGTCTCACTGCTTACTTCTGAATCTGTGCTCATGGATCACCTCTGGCAGGGCTCAAGGAGCTATTTGTGGTGCTGGGAATTGAACCCAGGTCAGCTGCATGACAGCCAAGCCACCCAACCTGCTACACTATCTCTCTTGCCCTGAGGTTTGTGTTTTTTACCTTTGTGGAGAGAGAGATGGGATCTCGCTGGTTGGAATTGAAAACTGAAGCTTCCGCTTAGTCAGGATTATCAAAGGGCTTTACCTTATGTAAAAAAGGAGACAAGGGCTGAAGAGAGAGTACAGTGGGTAGGGTACTTTCCTTGCACAGGTCTGACCCTGGACCAGTCCCTGGCACCCTATGTGGTTCTCTGATTCCCACCAAGAATGATCCCTGAGCACTGATCCAGGAGTCAACCCTGAGCATTGCCAAGTGTGGCAAAACAAAACAAAACAAAAAAAAACCAAAGAAAAACAAAAATGAAAAAGAAAGAGACAGAGATAAAAATGAGAAAGAAATCCACTCACATGGGGGAAATGACAGAATAGTTACTCATACTAAGACAAGGCTTTGGGCAGGGAAAAAATAAAAGTAAAAGAAAAATATTTCTTAAACCTGATGATACTGTTAGTTTACCATTGGAATTTATATGGGGCCAGAAAGACAGTGCAGCAGGTAAGGGCCTTCATCTGGATTCAATCCCCAACATCTCATATAGTCCCCTGAGCCCTGCCCAGGAGTGATCCCTGAGCATAACTGATGGTGTCCCCAAAAAGAAACAGAATAAACACATTAGAATTTATACTAGCTCTACACATTAGGAGCCCTTACTGGGTGATTATCCCTGAGAAACCTTGTAGGTACAAACACAGAATCTTTCTGGAGAAACAAGTTCTCAACCCAGATCACACAGAATCCCTGTGGAAAAACAGGGGACCTATGTGAAGATGATTGGGTGATCCAAAATGACAGAATACTTGGTGGGGTAATCTCCTGTCCGTGGGAGTTAACACATGCAACAAACAGCTGGATGAGACTCCCCCCCAAATTTGGAGTAATAGAATTGTTGGCAAGATTGTATAAAATAAGGGAGCTCAAAAATTATTGAAGATATAATGAAATCATTGAAAACATGAGACAAGAACATATGGTCTAAAAAGATCAGGCAGAGTAGGAACAGCTGGAAAGATCTGTAGAAGTGAAAAATATTTTCATTGAAATTCAGTCGTCAATGGATAAATTAAACATCAGGTTTGGCACCTTTGAAGACAGACTGAATGGGAAAATAGACCCAAAGAAATCATTCAGAATACAGCACTGAGGAAATAAGTCACACAGGCCAAGATACTAGAATTGTAAAATTCTATATTCACTAAATTTAATTCCAAAAGTGGAAAAGAGAATGAAGGAGAGGCATTGCTGAGAGATAATGGCTTAAAAGCCTCAGCATGCTAAAAGATGTCAAGTCTCGGGTTCAGGAAGCAGAAGAAATCTAAGCATTCTGATGAAATAAGTTTTTTTTAACTCCATGCCTACTGTATTATGATCATAATTTGTCTGTTACAAGAATGACCCCAAAATAACAATGGCCTAAAACAGTCAGATGTTTATTTCCTTCTCATGTAACATTCTAGACATAAGCCGTCTAGCTTGGCATGTTTGAGGATGGTTCATCCTGATGTCCACATTCCAACGCCTTCACTCTTAAGTGTATGACTCTGAGATTGCATTCACATTCCTCCTGCGCATACCCCATTGGGAAAAACTTATTTATGTGGTTATATACAGCTGTAGGAGGTTTGCAAAGTGTAGGCTTTATTCTGGATAACCATGTGCTCTGCAAAAGCTGAAGATTCTATTTATATGAAAGGAGAGAACAGATACAAACAGCGGTCTTTAAGTCTAGAAAAATAACAATGAATAGAAGTAATGGAGGGAAGACCAGTAGAGGAGGGGAATAAAGGAAGTCTATTAAATTCAAGCAGGGGAAAGAATAAGTATAGGGAAAAAAAGTACATAGCTCCAAATAGGGCAGTAGAAATAAATCTGTTGCAGGAGCTATGTACAAGCTATATTACAGCTCTGATATATGAAAAGAGTGGAAAAGGAATGAATAAACATAATGAGTATATATATTTTTTCTATTACATATTACATTGCAGTTAAAAACAAATTAAGTAGGACTGGAGTGATAGCACGCAGGTAGGGCGTTTGCCTTGCACGCAGCCAACATGGCCGACCCGAGTTGGATTCCTCCGCCCCTCTCGGAGAGCCCGGCAAGCTACCGAGAGTATCTCGCCCGCACGGCAGAGCCTGGCAAGCTACCCGTGACGTATTCGATATGCCAGACACAGTAACAACAAAGTCTCCAATGGAGACGTTACTGGGCCCGCTCGAGCAAATCGATGAACAACGGGAGGACCGTGACCGTGACCTAAGTAGGACTGGAGAGATTGTATAGGAGGTATAGTGCTTTCCTTGTCCAAATCCCAGTTCAAATCCCTAGCATCACATATGGTGCTCCAAGCACCGCCAAAGGTTACTCCTAAGCAGCACTGTAGCACTGTAGCACTGTCCTCTGTTGTTCATCGATTTGCTCGGGCCGAGTAATGTCTCCATTGTGAGACTTGTTACTGTGTTTGGCATATGAATACGTCACAGGTAGTTTGCCAGGCTTTGCTGTGTGGGTGAGATAC